CCTGTGAAGATGCTGTTGCAGTAATCAATACGGCTAAAGATAAACGCATGGATGAGTTTCTCTAGATCTCGCTGAGACATCAGTCCTCTAATCCTGGAGATGTTCTTCAGGTGATAGAAGGCCGACTTTGTGACTGTCTTAATGTGGCTCTGGAGGTTCAGGTCAGAGTCCATCACTACTCCCAGGTTTCGGGCTGATCGCTGTTTCTCAGTTGTAATAACTGAAGCTGTGCATTGATTCTAGTTCACACCTCTTTAGGTCCAAAGATAATAACTTCAATTTTGTTTCTGTTCAGCTGGAGAAAGTTTTGGCACATCCACACATTTATCTGTTCTAAGCATCTGTTCAGTGATTGGATGGGGTCAAAGGTCACCTGGTGACATCGTGATGTAGAGCTGTGTATCATCCGCGTAGTTATGGTAGCTAATCCTATTTCCTGTTATAACCTGAGCCAGTGGGAGCATATAAATATTGAAAAGAAGGGGTCTCTGTACACTCTGAAGTGTACAGAGTGAAAAGGAATGGTGCAACTACAGTCCCCTGTGGTTCTCCTGTGTTGCTGATCCAGGTGGTTGGACACACAGTCCTTCAGTTTCACAAACTGTGGTCTGAGGTAGACAGAGATCCAGGTGATTGTTGAGGCCTCCACCTGTGTCTTATAATCTTCATCCCTAGCTAATGGCCGGTGAGTGTATATGACAGGAGGGATTTGCCAGTAAGGTATCCCACAATGCATTGGGCCACCAGCAGCAGAAAATGATTAAACCACTTTTTTATCTGTCACAAAAAGTAATATATTTCAAATCGTGTCCAAAGCCGTGTCCAAATTCAGGGTCTGCAGCCTTCGAAAGACATGGTCTACGTAGGACAGGTCCTTCGCAGACCGCAAATAAACAAAGACTGGAAGAGAAAAGCTGTAAATTCAGACAGGTCTAGCCTTCAGTCAGTTGTCTAGCGTCCACTTCAGCATAACTTATGTTGCCTAGCAACTGTGACAGCGTGAAGCACAGAACGGCAAAGGAAAAAAACAGCTAAAGTTTGTTCTTTAGGGGTGTATTACTCCTGATTTCTGTATTTTTATTCACCAGTTGTAGTAAAGGCTGTTCAAAGTAAAAAGGAAATCTGTTAGTTTGATTCTAAAATGTTCAAACATGTTTAGCACGTTTCTACAAGGAATCAATATAATCAAATTATTCGTTTACAAATTTAATACTCTCCAGATCTCAGATAAGACATTTTAGTTAAATAAAACTACTATATTTGAAGGCTTAAATTTAATCAGTCAAACCGATTTGCTCAGAAATAAATTAAATACATTGGTATGGACCCGCAATGAATCATGGGATATGGTGGGTTGTGAAGGATACACCAGACCCATTGTTCAAATCTGAGGAAAAGGAAGGCCGCATTTGAAAGAGTCTTTGAATTTGGACAGGACTTGTCACTGCACTGTCACATAAGCGGTCTACAAATCTGGCCTTTGAAGGGTGCAGCCCTTGAATTTGGACATGGCTCATATGTGAACCTCCAAGAATAGCCAAATCTATTTTCATAGTTGGTTGTAATAATCACTGTGGGCTCTAGAAGTTGATGTGACATCCAGCAAACCCAGGGGGGAAAAAAACTAAAGGTTTTCATTGGAGCCTGTTCCTCAGTATAAACTCCAAATGATGGTGTGACGCAATATAAATCCCATGATGCAGGATAGGCGGTTTTGATTAACATGTTCCCTGAACACTAATCTGGTCCTGAGATATGGAAGGGAATTAGAGTCCACTTTGTGTTTGCTGTGGTTTAAAACATGAACATCTTTACTAGATGGAAGTAATCTCTGAATGGAGCAAAAAGAGCTTCAGATAAAGAAATTTGCTGTAAGGAACTTAATTAAATTCAGTTAGCTGTGTTGATTTAAGCGAATGATTTAAAAGTCAAATCAGTTACATACACAAAACCTTTACCCCAGGTCTGAACATTTATTCTCATATTTTCACTTTTTTAAGACGGATAGCTCAGAGATCTCCAACTATAAATACACTGCTCCAAAAAATAAAGGGAACACTCAAATAACACGTCCTAGATCTGAATGAATGAAATATTCTCATTGAATACTTTGTTCTGTACAAAGTTAAATGTGCTGACAACAAAATCACACAAAAATCATCAATGGAAATCAAATTTATTAACCAATGGAGGACTGGATTTGGAGCCACACACAAAATTAAAGTGAAATGTTCCCTTTATTTTTTTGAGCAGTATATTTATTTCTATTGAATTTGCTCCTTCACTCGCTAACTATGAACATGTTTACATGGTCACTCTTCCCTTTATTGTTTCTCTGTCTCAATATTTGAATTCTAGGTCAGTTGAAAAGTCTTTTCTATTTTTATCCACCTAATCCCCTTTAAGAATGCACACACCCTCAGAGGTCGTGCATAGACATGTGTGTTTGTGTGTGAAGTCCACTGCAGTGTGTTAATACCTCCAGCATGTTGCGCACTAATCCACACACTACCGGCAATACTGTTCTTCCTACCCCACCCCCTACCCCCAAACCCATCACCAACACACACATCTCTCCATCTCACTCACATGTCAGTAGCGGCAGCCACACTTCCATGTTGGCTTGGAAACATTGGATATATTTGACCTGGGGGAGTTGGAGCCTGGTTGGGATCATTTATGAGCGCAGCCATGGTGGTGGGAGCAACAGGCCAGGCAGGCTCTGACAGACAGGTTAGCAGCACATTTTCACTGTTATGGATGAAGTTGACTTGTGTGGCAGACTTCACTACAACTGTTCCCTTAGGTGTAGCAAAGACTGAAACCATTCTTTCCCATTTAATATGTGACTTTTTTGTGTTAATTGAGAATGACTGCATATTTTCTGCAGTTTCCATTGAGCTCTTTGTTTGCACTTGGCACTTCATGGTTTCTAATTATAAACAGCAGTTCAGATTTCTTTTTGTACCCTCTGGGTTTACAGCCCCTAATCTCTCATAGCTGTCTTTTTCCCCTGGATTAAAATCCTAGAAACTCATTAGCTGTGCAGCTAGTTAAGTAAGTCTTTGAATCACGTTTGAAACTGTAGTCTTTATGAGGTGTTGTAGAGCCAAACTGGCAGAAGAGTAGACATTCCAGTTACAGGTACAGAATGTGATTGCAGGACAAGTTTTTAATTTTTACAAAGTTCACGAAGAAGTCTGTCTCTTGTTCTTTTAAATCTGCTTAGTGACTTAGTGAAAGCAGGATTTTTTTTACCAATATTTGCCATGAATGTGGGTGATAAAACCTCCAAATTGCAGTGAAGCATTTTGCACTTAAGTCACCGCAACTTTTATCATGTTGTAGTCGATCTTAAAAAATATGAAGTCGTTCAATCCCTAATTCTGATACAGATCCCACTGTTATGATTCTGGCTCGTCTGCCTGCTCTGTTTTCTTCATCAGGTCTACCTGCATGCTGCTGCGCTGCAGCACAATTAGGCTCATGTCATCCACCTGTCCTTCAGCAGTTATATTCAGCACTCAGGCAGAGCTCATGCAAGGGCGTTTGAAAACCCTTGCGTGAGTTAACAATCCAAAAATCAAAGGACTGAATCAGTCTTTAGCAGATTTAGATCAGTGTTTCTCAATCCCTGTCCACACCAGAAATCCAGTTGTGAAATTTCCTCGCTTCTAAATATTCCTCAGTCAACTGTCAGCTTTATTATAAGAAAATGAAGTGTTTGGGAAAGACAGCAACTTTCTGCAGATCGGAGACTGAGAGCCAGGCCTTCTCATCTAACATTAGTATGTGACCTCACATATGCACTTCTGGAAGAATGGTCAAAAATCCCCATAAACACACTCTTAAACTTGTGGACAGCCTTCCCAGAAGGGCTGAAGCTGTTCTAGCTGCAAAGGTGGACCAGCATCATATGGATTAGTCACTTAAGCTCATATGTGAATAAAGGTGAATAAACATTGTGTGTTTTACCATGTGTACACTATGGTACACATATGTATGCACATGTATATACATGTGAAAAGATATAAAACGTGACACACAAAAACGTGCATCTCATGCGACACACATGAGATGCACATGTTTATCACATGTAAAATATGTGATACACATGTGAAAACATTGGAATTCCATAGGTTTTTATCACTAGGCATTCTGAAATCACACTTATATTATGTTAAATTATGTAAGGTGACCACATTGTATTATTATTATTATTATTATTATTATTAGATACATGTGCTTTTATATGTGATTCAGGTCTTTCACACATCGTTCATATGTGAAAATTTGTGAAAAACACATGCGGTTTTTATGTAGTACATGGTTTTCACGTGTAACTTTCACATATAAATGTCATGTGAAATGCACATCTATGCCTTGCTTCGTCCAGAGGTTCTGGTCTCTCAACTAATGAGAAACTATTTCTTTCTGGAGGCGTGGACTGTATTGGGATTTTAAAATTTACCCAGTCGCTAATGTTTGTCCATGACTTGTGTAATGTGCAGTTCAACTTTAGGAAGCTTACCTGAAATGTCTTGTGCTGCAATCAACCGTCTTCCACTGTGGAAAAAAAAAGTGCTGATCAAAACAAGGCAATGTTAATTCAATATTTGGAAATGTGACTGACATGGACTGATCAGTTTCCTTCACTTCCTTTGATGCAATTGCTAAAACTACAGGCAGAAAATCAATGTCATGGTTTACTACTACTCCTTCTGTTCGCTGATTGGAAATCTACCAGAGGGAATCTGAGTTAGCAAGATTTGGATAGAGCGGAATATCACAGGAAAGCAATGGTCAGCCCAGCTATCATCTGGTCTGAAGGTATTTTACAGTAGGGGAATAAACAACTATATAAAAAAGGGCCTTAAAGAAACTGCATATACTTCAGCTGAGCACAAACCCTGTATTTTGGAAACCTGATGATAGAATACTACATGAACACTGTAACTTTTATCTTTTTTTATTTTTAACCATTTTTTGGACAATACTAGCACTGCATGAAAAGTGGGATTTTCGACAGCTATTGACACCTAGTTCTGCCGCGCGCATGGAGATTGAGGGCTATCGGCAAGAGGTTTTTGTCAGAGTGGAAAATTGTAGAGCACTGCCAAGAATGGTCAAAAATGCTGTGTGTCCGTGTTCCCCTATCACCCCCCTCCCCTTGTGCCTAGCAGAGGTTTTCGTATTTAAATGAAGTTGCTGGGAGCCATGCAAATGCAAATCAACTGAGCACCGGCCTTTTGACTCTCATTCCTGTTGTAGCTAAACCATTTTACCTACTGTTCACCTGTTTACTAGACCCAGGACCTGGACAAAACCCCTCAGTGTTTTTAATTGAGAAATAATGAGATTTAAGTATAAAACAGGCATTAATGCTGAAAATGTTCTAATGTTACAAAGTCACACAAATGGAACAAATTTAGTGTGACATTCACCAACCAGCACTGAACACTCTTAGTTCAGCTTAGGGATGTAACCTTAACACTTAAGTGTTCATATCAAAGTACAATTTTCAGGGTAAATCTGATGATATATTGTCAACATTGCATGTCTGTTAAGCTCATTCAAGATTGTGTGGTGGAATGCAGACAGAGCCACCGCTGTACTCCAAGAGAAGTGTTTCTGCCAGCGTGAAAACACTGAGCTTCACATAAAGCATCAGTTGTGTCATCATGACAAAGTTCCAATCATTTGCACATGTAAAATTTTGGTCATTATAGTATCACAGGCAGATGTTCATGGCATACTAATGTAACCCAGGCTTTCCCTCTTTGGATCTGCCGATGGAAGACACCCTATGGACTCTGCGTTGTGTTTTATTTGTGCGTGAAGGTGGGATGTGATCCGTGCAGAAAAGAGGAATCGGACACAGCGATCGTGGTTGTGGGGAGACCTTGGCGCGTTTATTTCGTCCACCTTACAGGCAGTAAACACACTGTCAGCATTCAACCGCTTTTTTTCTGTTTTACAAAACAATCAAGCATCACAAAACGATCAAACGTCACAAACCAATCAATCACCAGAAAGAAAATGTAATCTGTGCCTAACTGGCAATCTGAACCAAAAGAAATATATATATAATGTTCATTTTTACACCGGGCTAGGAGAGCTGCTGCTTACCTTACAGGCAGTAAACACACTGTAAGGAATACAGCAGTTCGCGCACAAAAATCCCCCGCACTACGGTGTCCCCGGCAGGACAAACATGCCAGGATTGCGGTGGTACCAACAGCACCCTCTTTTGGGACACTTGTGCACTGCTTTACACTAAGTTGATGTTGACTCTTCTGAAATTGTCTCCTAATCTGGACTTTGTGATTAAACATTCTGGAATACTGGCTCAAAAAAGCCTGTATTCCAACATTACTCCTTCAAATGGGGATGTAAATACATGTTGGTGTTGCAGTGCAATGGGCCAAACAGTTTAACACATTTTGAGACGTCTGTAGGTATTGTTCATAGAAGTATACCATGAAGAAGTATGTTTGGAGAAACAATATTAAAACAATAATCTATCTTACTCATTAAAATATATTTTGCATGTGTGTTAGGACCACTGAAAAACTTAGTTTTGGTTGAATTGATGGTATAAAAGAAGAATATGCATGATGACATACAATAGACTTTTGTTAAATGTGATCTTACTTTGACATTCCTCCCATTTGAAGATTTATCATTGCACAACTTAATCAAAAATAATAATAAAAAACATGTTCCAGAGTGGTTCATTGTACATAAAGTATTTTTGTGAATAATATTCAAACTAATGTTAATGTTCACTGATTGCTTTAAAGACCCAGAGTCATGCTATATTGGACCCATAGTCATTCTACAGGACTTAAGAAACTACAGATGATTTATCAGTATTCAGTTGCTTAACTCTCGAGTTTAAATTGAATAACAAAATGGTTGAAAGTATGTGATACCTTCTGATAGAGTATAAACATTTGTATTCTTTTTTTTAAAGTTTTGTTAGTTAAGTACTAAATATAACTCACGGATGATGAATCATTATATTCTATATAAACTAAAAAGGAGACAGCTCAAAGTAGAATTGAGTAAATAAACAACTACACATTTAAAAACATTTTAGCAATTAATTGTCACGTAACTTTTGAAAAAATAACTTTTTAGAATGTATTTTTTTTCTGTCAACTTTCATTTAACACTCTAGTCCAGTTGGTGGCATTAATGCGCTTTCATAGTCGGTCAAGCAACCGCCATTAAACTCCAGAGGAAGATTTGCACTGGCGCTAACGAGTGCTACTGTTAAACATGAACGAAAATGTCCGTGCGTTGTGTGAAATGGTGGAAAAAGTCCTATTTCACGGAGTTACTTTTTCAGTATCGTTTTGATATCAAGCAATGTTCCGGCGGAAAACAGCAGATGACACCGCGGCGGTCCAACAGGCCGAACTCACGGTAAGAAAGCTTTTATGAATAGTGAGCACGTGCAACGAGGCGAGGTGCTTTGCTTGTTTCTTACAGAAAGCGGTCCGTTGTTTTCATATGCCGAAACAAGTGTAGGATGAGATTTTATATTGTAATTTTTTTATTACATGTGATGTTCTGAACTCTTAAAAATACTCGCATCTTCTTTTATTTTTTTTTTCAGACCTGAAAAATGGCCGAGCCTCAACAGCCAGGCCTCAGACCACGGTGTCGAGGCGCTCTGACGGAGTCCACCAGGACGAAGAGAAATTCAGTAAGTTATGATTTCACATTTAGTGAATTGTGAACACTCGCATATTTGTAAGAAAAACTGATCTTCCGGTTATTTTATTCATTTTGTTATAACGCAGTACAGCAAGGCAGAGTGTGGTAAGCAGTAGAGATCGAGAACATGGCAGACGGATATGAGGACGGAGCCATGAAGCCGGTATGTATTATGTACAGTCACTGCGTTGATTCCCGATTGTACAATGGCTGGTTGAGAATAATTTTAACTTATTTACTTATGTATTTTTGAGAAAGCGATATATTTGCCACAATATTTTTTTTTTATTTTACATTTATTTCCACAGAATGGGAGTCACATTTGTTTCAATCAGACTCTTCAGGAACGTCCTGATGTCCATGACGAGGACAGAGATGCAACTGTGTGTATCTACTATTTTAGAATGTTGATGATATTTTATGCTTCAATATTGTTTATGTACATAATGTAATTATGCTATGTATTGACAATGCACAAAAATGTTTTCCAGCTGCAACCAGGACCTACTGCCAGTCATCTGGATGTAGCTAAAGAAAGAAGCAGGTAAGATTTATTACTAATCTAGAGATGTCACAATTCCTTGAATGGTTAAAGTACTGTGATTTATTAAAATCCATCAAAGCAAATTATCTGCCTCAGTTTGTTGAACTATGTTTTACTATTTATTACCAACTGCTTTTAATTATTTTTTTCTTCCAATTATTTCCAAGTGTTTTCTCTTTTTCATTAAAGTTTTTGTTTTTTGTAAGAATGTATTAATATGTTTTTTTTTTGTTTTGTTTTGTTTTTTTTAGTTTTAATGTCTTATGTGTGCATACTAAGCTGGAAGTTGCCAAACATTTTCACTGTAGTTTCATAATGACTAAAAGATGCCTGTAGCTCATAATGATTATCTGTTCTGTGTTAACAGCTGATGGAGGAAGGCAGAGAGTACTGGCAGCAGAGGAGGTGGCATTCTGGGAGGATGGCAGCTATGAGGGGGTATCAGGATGGACTGTGGTGAGGTTGAGACCCCAAGTTACCCCAACCAGGAGCTCAGTGACATTAGGTCTATACTACAGGAAGAGACGTCAGGTCTACACTGCAGGAGAAATGTTGGGCCTGTCCTGAACGCAGCATAATGTTGGATCATGTTTGGACAAAAAAACACTGCCAGATAGTCCAGAAATGGACAAGCATTTATGTCTTATTTTGTGTGCAAACAGTAAAAAAATTAAATGAAATAAAGAGAAAAAACAAACTTCTGTGCCTCTTTTATGTTCCTCATATATGAACATGTTGCATATAAGCAATATCAAATGAATATATTTTAATACAGCATTTATTTTTGATATATATTTTTTTAAAATACAGTATTAAAAATATTAATGATTGGGGTGGGGTTTATTTATAAAGACATAAGTGCTGTCCAATGGGCACACATCAACCAACCAATCACATGTCAATGATGAACTGTGATGTCATTGTTTTTAGGGTTAGGGTGACCCTAATACAGGGTCAAAAATCTCACTTTTCATGCAGTGTAGAGAAAAAGTTTATTTCTCATCTGATGTAAGCTATATGAATCATGAATTGTTTATGGATGTCATCAAAGTCCTAAGTTTTGTTTCATCAGTAAAATTATCCATGTACTTGTTAAAATCGGATGCATGTGTGAGCTGCTTCACTAGAAGGAAGGCTGAGAAATGATTTCAGCTCATCTTCTTTTGATCATCCAACCCTGCCACTGAGGGGCAGTCTGTATCATATATGTGAAGGTATTCATGTGCATGAGTCCAATAATGTTTCATTGTTTCTAGCCATCTTATGGAACAGTACAATAAAAAGAGGGTTGTGATGAAGAAGGGTGTAATGATGATTAATGCTTGAAACGGAAGGTAGTGGATGTTATGGCATCCAAACCTCCAGGGAATTCCGGCTTGGCTCATTTGGCTTTATTGGACAGGGCATGATGATGGGAGGGGAGGGAGGGGGCAGGAGGGTGAGCTCTATTAGTCCATTGTGTCCTCTCTCAAATGAGATGAGGACCACGGATTGTTCTCTACATTATAATACCTGACTCGAAGATTGCAGTTGTAGCAGAGGAGCCCTTGGCCTCGCACGCACACGCACACACACACACACACACACACACACGCATGCATACACGCATGCATACACGCATACACTGACACAAATGCCCCTTTTCCACCTGCTCGGCTCTACTCGGCCTGCTTTACCAGTGTTTCCACTGGCATTTTTTCAAGGCCGGCCCGGATTTCATGGGTGACGCAAGCTTCGCTCCTGTTCACTGATTGGCCGTGGGCATGGTCAAATGGAGCAGCAAAGAGAGAAGAAAAACGAAGGCGCAACGTTTCAAACTCGCTGCAACACGGAAGTGATGGAAGTTACAAACAAGCGGTGAACAAAGATGTCTGCCTTTCTTTGCATCAGGTTTCAATATTCAGCGGCAGCTCGATGGAGCAGTGAGGAATGAGTCGTTTTTGTCACCGTAGTAGAGAGAATGGAAAGCCTCGGAGCCCGACGTAGCCCCACGGTGAACACCGACTCAGACCTACCCTTAACCTTGGTAATGGAGAACCAACCGGACATTGTGGTGGTGGATAAACAACAGAGGAAAGCCGTTGTGGTGGATGTAGCAATACCAAGTGACCACAACATCAGGAAAAAGGAGAAACTGGAGAAATACCAGGGCCTAAGAGAGGAACTGGAGAAGGCCTGGAAGGTGAAGACCACAGTGGTGCCTGTGGTCATCGGGGCCCTCGGGGCAGTCACCCCCAAACTGGAGCAGTGGCTACAACAGATCCCAGGAACAACATCAGACATCTCAGTCCAGAAATGTGCAGTTCTAGGCACAGTCAAGATACTGGAGGAGAACCTGAAGCTCCCAGGCCTCTGGTAGAGGACCTGAGCTCAGAGGATGAAAGAAAGAGACCACCCGCGGAGGGTGAGAAGGGAATTTTTATTTTATTTTTTTTATACATTTCTGAATAAAACACACAAAGTAATGTAATGTAGGAAATATTTGTGTATTTAATGTTAATCTATTAGTATGATTTATTCTTTAAATGGCCACTTATTATTTTGGCTAATGCTATTATATATTAAATGTCATACAAACTCAACATCCTAAGCAAATAATCAAACTACAATAGCCAACTAAAATCACAATAAGAAACTTAATCATAGCAAAATGTTCTGTACCATGTTAGCCTCAGGAGACGTTTGAGGGATGAAGAAACTGATTTCTGATTCATTAGGTTTTAATGGATCTGCAGTTCCTCTCCTGATCTATTCTGCCTATTACAGCAGCACACTGCTCCATGACGGACAAATTTTTTTGTCGATCAATGTACAGTATCCATCCTAACTGAAATTGTTCAGCTTATAATGCACGACTTTTCACTCACATCACTCACAAACGCTTTTAAAAATATTTTTAAAAGCGTTTGTGCTTCTAAGGACATGGAATCAGGTAGAGGACGTTTTAAAAAGACGCAGGTTAATAGCAGCTTACCGCGGCTGCGTAGTGTCCGTCTCTAGGCAACCGTCATGGCAGCGTCGGTCTGTAGCATTCAGAGGGTCCTTTTTAGCTCCCGCCATGGGAATTTAGCTCACCTCAATATTTCCTGTGTTTTATTTTGGTCATTATTGTTACACTTAGTGTTGATGTGTGTATGATAGGCATGTCTATCAGACAATTATGTATTGGTTCAATATGGGATGCACATTTAACGGTCAAATATGGGACGACTCCGTATTTTGCTTTAGCATCCCTAAAACAGGGCTAGAATCGCCACTGACTACTACAAGGGTTATGGTGATGATGGTGGTTGGAGTTCGCCCCACAATCAGTGAATTGCTGGTTCAATTTCCATTCCATCCTCCTGTATCGTTGTATCCTTGGGCAAGACACTTCACCCACCTTGGCTGCTGGTGGGGGTCAGAGGGCACATTGGCGCTGGTCCATGGCAGCCTTGCTTCTGTCAGACTTACTGAAGCCATTTACAACCAGTACCTAAACTAAACCATTACCAGTAGTACCGGTACTACCAGTACCCTACACTCTATCATTATATCAAATACAAGAACACACCCACACACGCACACACAGAGCTCATTGAGTGAGGAGAGGTTGTAGTACAGGGCTAATGAAAGCCATGAGGCCAGGTTATCCAGCAGAGAACCTCTCCCCTGTTGCCGCTGGCAACACACTTTTGTTGCTAGGCGATAGGTGGAACACAGTCTATGTGTTAGAGATAAGTGGAGTATTTTGCTTCCTGAAAGTTTTGCTGTATTGTCTAATCTGTATCTCCATTCTAAGGAACCACAATGGCATAACCCCTTCATCATTGTCAATTATTAAAATTAAACGAGAGGATTGGGTAACACTTTATTTGAAGGGGGTTAAATAAGACTGTCATGACACTGTCATAAACATGACATAACACATGTCATGAACATGAATAAGCCTTCATGAATATTTATGACTGTTGTCATAAAGCGTCATTCTCTAAATTATGACACTTTTAATACAAAGTTGACATTATTCAAAATGTCTATTATGACAACTTGACATTAACCAAGAAATCATTGATATAAATTTGTTATAAAAGTATTACTGATTGCACTTTAAAAAATTAGATAACTTTATGTTATTAAAGGTAAAGTTTAAACAGTAATGATTTCCTGGTTAATGTCAAGTTGTCATAACAAAGACATTAGCCAACTGAGACAGCAACTATTGCTGCTGCTCTCTGTATTAGTAAGATTAAGTGGCTAAGACTCCACAGCAGTGGATTTAAATGTTATTGTTAATGAATAACCAATCATCAGCCCCAGAGCGAAGGGCAAAACACCAAAAGCTGGCTGTAAAATCTACTTTTATACGTTTCCCCCAACAGACCAGCTTCCCTCATGCATGTCATTGTGTGATGCATTATGTTTTAACGGTGCAGATTAAAAGAGCATCACACATGAGAACATGTGACATAATCAGATTGTCACAGATGAAGATTTTAATAAATGGGTTAATGATGATGTTTTGCTGATGTTCAGCCTCCAAATTAATAGCTCCTCCATGTCTGTTCTACATCAGAGAAAGCTCACCAACCCCCACAAGGACAAATATTTCCTCTGAGCAGATCCCCACTCAGCGACTGAAAGGATGTTTCTTTTTCCTGAGACATCTGTAGTTGGAGGAGGTGTGAAAGGTGCAAACAGACAGAATCAAAACAATTACATTCCTCTTATATAGTTGTATGCAAAAATACTTGGTATTTTTGTTTGTACTTTTGAATACAGTTGAAATATATCGTCCAACTCCCTTTCTTGACTTTTACCTACTTGTTATACATCTAATATATCAAGATCAAATTGTTTTTGTGCATTTATCTTTAATGGGGTAATATTATGTAAAATCATTTTTTTTTAGCTTTACATCATGTTATAATGTTATTCCTTCATCATAAACAAACGGAGTGTTGCCTTGATTATTTCACGTGTTTTTGAGAAATCCTTTAATCTCCATGGAAACCATTCAGCTGAGCATAACGATTGACTGGACCTCTTCCCAATTTCAAGGCACAGCTCCTCCTCAATGCTGCAGTTTCCAAGCTTCTGAGCTTCTGCCTCACACAGCATCCCTGAACCACAACTGCCCATTCAGCTCCTTCAGACTAGTCAGCATCAAATAGCAAACATTTGTTGGAACTGCACATCAGCGTAAGAAGTAAACATTTTCCTTCATAGCAAAATATGAGTGAATCAACGCTGAAATATCATTAGGCAGAAACACTGAATTCACGTTGAAGCCTGACATTGAAACGATACTGAAGGTGGTTGGTGACTTGCATGTTGAATCAATGTTGGGGTTTCAACCATAACTGACACTATATCAATGTTGATTCAACCATCATCTACCTTTGGATCTAAATGCACATTTGTGTTCATTTTACATTGAATCAAAGTTAAAGAATCAATATTGATTCATGTACATTTTTTGGTCTGATAGGTTTACACATCATAACATAACATTAAAAGTTTCTTCACTGATGTTAAACACATAATTTTGCTAGCAGACAGAGTATTATGTTGTTCAAAATTATCTTACATTACCATATTTCCAAAGATGTGTGCACATAAAGTTAAAAATGACAACATTGTATTAGTCTTGCATTTTATTTAAGAAAACAGGCATAGATCTTTAAACATATCTGACTCCTTTTTGGACAACAGTCTCTTGTTCATGGAAGAACAGCATCCATGAGGTTAAGCCTGGTACTGTATGAACCAAGGAAACAGTATGTGTTGAGGTAACCCAAGTTTGACTCTGGTTGGCGTCACTCTGGTTCCTCCCACTGTGGTGCATAACAAAGCCACTTCTTGACAGTTTCGCTGTAGTCCTTGTCGGTCAGCTTTGGCTCAAACTACCGAGCAGCAGCTGAAAAACACAAAAATAAGAGTTTGACCAGCCCAGGCACTGGGCTGGTCAGAAAGACAATGAAAAACATTTGAAAAGTTTTGAAGCACATTGAAATATTAAATAATTTTCTGGTTATAGGTCTGAGAACAAACACAAACTGTACACAAACAATAGCTTGATAGCAACCTTGAATGGTCCAGTTCAACAGCCAAACATTCATGCTAGCGTCTGCGTGAAGCTGAGTTTTAACTTTAAATGAGTTGATTCTCATGGTTGGCTCTGTATATTTCTGAGATTTTTTGGCTTCAAAATGCCGTGTTTGGTAATGTTTGACGACAATTAAAATTTCTCAATGTTTGATGTTATCTAACAAAACGTTTTTACATCAGGCTATATGGCTACTGCATTAAAAAAATCGATGAGCTACTCAATGCTGTAGTTGGCGATATGTTTTTTGCTGCTGATAATTTATGCATCTAAAACAAACAGGTTTTTTACGTCAACTTCTAAGTTATGTTAAACACCTGTTAAAATCATTTGAAGGCTGTCTGTCAGTCAGACTTCTCACTGTAGAGCAGAAGAGGACAGAAGCTGATTTTTTAATCTTTGCTGATGAAGATAAGATCAGTGGATAAGATTGACTTCACATGTAAGTATCCAAAATTAAGAAAATCTGTGCTCAGAAATTCACTGACCAATAAATGTATCCTATATTATACATGCATAGGATATAATGCAAACAGTACTTTCAGAGATGCTTTAAGTTTATAGTAGGTGTGCTACTATAAAGTGTTGAATTGATTTTAAAATCATCTAACTGTCGAATCCATCAATCCACACTGTTAGCAGAAATAGATGGCCCCAAAACCAAATTTCACTTATGACCCCATGGAGGCTTGGGCTGGCCCTGATCCCTGCTGCCTTCGCTTCCAAGCATTTGTGTGGGAAATCGCAAAAATAATCAAAATTGGTTAAGATAAATTAAAAAGAATTACTTCATACTACAAACCACTGGGTGAATGTATCAATATAAATTATTTTACCATTCTATATTATTTTTCCATGATGACAGGTAAGGCAGGGCCTTACCTGCCTCGCCCCCCCCCGCGACCGCACGCCACTGGTTGACACATATAATGATACATTTACGTAACATGAACAGCGGAGAAAAGTCTGAAAAGTTGCACAAAGTTGGGTATGAGGTATGAAAGGTTTTTTTTCCCAAACACTGGCTGATACTGATGATCACTGGATAGCTGCACATGTAGGAGTCTAATTATTACACTGACCACAATGTGCTTTTTTACACACACACGTACACGCACACACACACACACATATATATATATATATATATATATATATATATATATATAGGTGCTCAGAAACCCTAACCCCTAATCCTTGACTGCTCCAAGATGCCTACCCTAAATCTCGCCAGTGACAATAGAGAAGAGTGGTCCATGAGGCCTCAACATACTCTCTGCTATATTATAAGGCTTTCAGTTAATATGTCGATGTGAAATATGTAATATATTCTTTAGCATAGAAATGTACCACAAACCTATGATATAAATATTTTCCGTAATTGCGAGGGGACGCAAAAGAAAACTATTTTCCCATGTCCCCTAGAGCAGTGGTCCCCAAACCTCTTTATCACCACGGATCAGTCAAGGCTTGGCAATTTTACTGTGGCCGTGGGGTGAACCGTCAGAGAAGGCTTCTGCATGTCTGCATAATTAAATGTAAATGGTCATTTCATCTGTTTGCATAATTTGATCCTGAGTGGATTACATTTCAGTTCATTTTTCCCCCCAATTTTCCCCTTACGACAATCTTAGAACGTTCCGAGTTCTAAGATTGTCGCTTGCGATAATCGTAACCGATCATCCTGCAGTGTGTGGTGTGTTACATAGAACGTCGGACCTCTCCAATCTAAAATCAGGCATATTCAACATGTTGGATTGTCTTTGCCCAGCGTGTGGGGTTTTCCCTAACTAACACAGTAAATTCATGATTATACATCAATGTAGCATTCAACAAAGATCATTTCATATTATCTCCACACTAATCACAACTCTCTCCCCCATTTGTTTCCAGTTCTCTTTTTGATCCAGCCATTGTTTCATGTAGAGATTAAGACTATAAACAGAATTTATGTATCAGAATCACAAACATCATTTACTTGTTTATTCATCATCAGGCTTCATGTTGTTTTCACATTGCCTATTTTACATGCATTGTCCATTTGATGTGCATTAGTTCATGAGTTGAACAGTTGGATGGAATGCCTCCATGCTTCATAAAGCTTCATCTCACCATCACTACTCTTCACCCCCCCTCCCACTCGGCCGTGTCCATTGACTCCGCCCACTTTGCTGGAATTTTCAGCTTTCAGAGGGGAGATTATTTGGATTTTAAAGAATCATGACATGTTTTCAAAAGAATGCTGTTGATTTTTATCAATTTAATGGTTTTCTAATAATATATATCTATCTAATAATCCAGATAGATTGACAGATCATTGTAGCACATGCTCTTTCAGTCAGGAAGAGCATGTGCTAAAATCAATGGTAGTCACACCCACTAGAAAGAAACAAATGCACCCTAGAGAAAGCTCCCAACCTCGTGGGACGGTTGCCAGGCAACGGTACTTTTTGTTCCGCCAGAAAGTAGAAAATAATTTGCAAGCCAGCAGAGAGGTTTACAAGTGGAGAGTTAATCTGTGTAGAATGTGGAGAAAATCTGAGAGTGAACACAAAGATTTGAGAGAGCACAGAGAATATTTGAAAGAGACCAGAAATTTTGAGTTTAAGCATTACAAGTTTTGAGAACAAAGAGATAAAATGCTGCTTGCAACTGAAAATGTGTGCTCTTGACTTATGGCAGTAAAATTTCCCCACAGATATCTGGGAAGGATACCCAGGCATGCCTGTCCCTTCAGACACTCTTTGAAAAGCAAAGAAAATGATTGAACAGATAAATGAAAGAACAGAAGGAATAATAGATTGATTATTTTTCTGGGGGTTCACTGAAAAGAGAAATAATAAAGTGAAGTAATGTACAGACCAGAAATAGAAGCCTCTTTCAAACCCAAAAGAGTTACTTAGAAGTTAAATGAATTTGCATTCATCTATTTGCAATGTGTATTACAAAAAGATCTGTACCGCTCCACGGGCGAGGCGCCACAATCTTGTAATGTTTGTACTGACCAGTAGATGGCAGCATTGAATAAAAACTAACAAGGGTGGCGCCATCAAGATAAGAGCAGTAAATGACTTCACAAAAACATTAATGACTTGCTAGAGCAGCACATAAAGGCCATGTTCACACCATTAGTATAATACTAACATTGTAATGGTAGTTATAACAATAATAACAATGCAGGTTTAGGCTTCATAGAGGTCATTTGCAAACAGTTTCGCTGTTTAATGTTGCTCACAATAATTTTATCACTGCATTACACTGTTGTCTTAAACTGAGCCAGGTTAACCCAAATCACACATTTCTTCTGGTGATGGTGGTTTCAGCATCATGGACAGGGACTGGCTGATGAGTCTTTGATGTGAAAAACATTCATGTCTATTGGATGCTTTTTGCAGCAGCACTTCATCCTGTTTTCCTTTTAAATTTAAACAATGTGTGACCTTTCACCACATCCGCAGACATGTGTGGATAAGCCTTTAGAGTAAAGGGATTGATGTATTTTTCTTTGTGTTTGCTCCGGAGCTGTGAGATCTCCAGAGCAGCCAGCAATCAGACGATACCATGATTGGTTTTAGCAACAGGGGAGATCTCAGAAACAACAGAGCTCATCTTATCCCCTCTGTCTTCTTTCAGAGTGGCACCTCCCTACCTAGCTTTCCAAAGGACTTCTCCTTGTCCTCTGGCTCCTCCCACTCGCTGTTTCCTCTGGCATCTCCCTCTACTGTCTCCTTATCATTTTTCATACCGTGCCGACTCGTGCCTGATCAGAGATCAGAAGGGAATAAATGAAAGGTTTCTACGTTTCCATGGCACCCTCTCCTTTCTCTGCAGACTGAGCTGGGAGGGAGGGGTGGAGTTCCCCCTTCCTTTCTGTCTCTTCCGAGCTTCTGGATTGGTTGTTGGGCTTACCTCTCTGTGATGTGTGCCAGAGCAGCATTCTTCCTTTTCTGACCTTGTCTCAGATGCAGTTGCCCATGCACCAGGGAGGGAGGCTTTCAGCACACACTCACACTTTGTGTCTGGGTGAGGAGATCTGCTGGGTTAGAGGACTAAGCCGGACAGTTTGTCCTTGGAAACTGCCCCGGTGAGGTGAGGCTGATATCCGTGGACTGGCAGGTCCTTGGAGCTATTCACACAAGGTTTCTGAGAAGACTTCTGAAAGTAATCTAAAGGTCTTGTCTCTGTGGGAAGAGTGAGAGGCCATGGCTCATGCCGCAGCTCAACTTAAGAAGGCCAGGTCCGAGATGGACCAGCCTCCGGACCTGAAGGCTCTGGAGAAAGCTAGAGAGAAGAGGCGCCGTTCCCGGGAACGGGCTGAACGCAAGCGGAAGGTAGCGCACTTAGAACCATCCACCCCTTCCCACTCTTATGGACAGTTAGTGCTTCAATGTCAGTGGTCATTAGTTCAAGTCTTATCATCATCAAATGTCACCTCACCCTTTGAAACCAAAGGAATCTTTGACAAAGTCATATATAAAAGACTTAACATGAGTTCTCATCATTTTCTGTATTCTGGCTGAAAATGTCCATTTCCACCCTCATGAATCTGTCATCATCCAGGTAATTGTTGGAGAATTCATGGGGATGTAAACCTGAACATAGTCAAGGGTCTACTGATCAGGAAAAAAGCAATATCCAAATGCTGCAAACTTTGTTCAGTGATGAAAACCATTTGCCAACCATTAAACCTCATCCAACACACATCACTGTCAGCTTAGATTCCAGCTCAAGTAAAACAACTGAATGCAAGCTGCGTGAACCTTGATGCTAATATTGTGGCTCTTTCTCTGGTGTCAGCTATAGCCTGTTTTGATCAAACCCTGTTCATCTGTAGGCATATTTACGCAGGGAGGTTTGTGGTCCATCATACACTTTGAAAGCAGGTTCCCTGCTGTGCTTTCATTGGTAAAGGTTCACCTCTGACATCATTTTAATGCAGTGTTTCCTCCAATATGCCAATTCAGGCAATATGGTCTTTTTCTGTGTTTTGACAGGACAAGGCATGTTGTCGTTAAATATAAACTATAATCAGCCTGGATCACTGCATGCTGAGCTTGTTTGATAAAAGGAAGAACAGCAAAGTTTGCTTCATTTTCTTAGCCTAACATCTGATTGAATAGAACTACCTGAATGAGCTACACTATTGAATAGGAACCAGTTAAATTGAAGTAAGGTAGTCTTTCTTTTTGCCAGAACTGAATCACCTTTATCATCTCTGTTTGAATGGACTGAGATGGCAGGGTTTCTCCCAGAAAACTTGCTCAGCGCGGTGGTCGGGGTGCAGAGGTGGTCCACCGTGGTTTTGTATTAAAAGATGTTAAGTAGACAGGAAATGTAAAAGTATTACTGGATAATTATATGTTACGGTAAAACATTGCCAGCGAAGCACTATTTAAGCCCATAACTACTCTTAAAAACAATAAATAAATAAAAATACAATTAAAATGAATATCAATTATTTGCATTTGTGTTTAATCCAAATTATGTCAGTGACTCTACAAGGACCCTCGGGGATCCAGGGACCCCATAAATGCTAATATTTTAACACAGACTACAGCTGCATGAATGTATAAAAAATTTTTATTGAGATGATAAATGCTGCTAAATTTCATTTAGCAGCATACATAGATTAAAATATTTTAA